ACCCATCAACTCGTCATTTACATCAGGTATAACTCCCAATGCAATCCCTCCCTAAGTTGTAGGTGTACATGTGGACACTGCAGGTTTGTTACATATATACTGAAGCATGTTGAGAAGCACTCATCAACCCATGATGACTGTAAAGACTCCATGCAACCCTCCTCCCCTCCCCATGATAGGCCCCGGTGTGTGATGTTCCCCTTCCCGAGTTCAAGTGATCTCATTGTTCAGTTCCCACCTATGAGTGAGAACATGCAGTGTTTGGTTTTCTGTTCTTGTGATAGTTTGCTAAGAATGATGGTTTCCAGCTGCATCCATGTCCCTACAAAGGACACAAATTCAGCCTTTTTTTATGGCTGCATAGTATTCCATGGTGTATATGTGCCACATTTTCTTAATCCAATCGGTCACTGATGGACATTTGGGTTGATTCCAAGTCTTTGCTATTGTGAATGGTGCTGCAATAATCATACGTATGCATGTGTCTTTATAGCAGCATAATTTATAATCCTTTGGGTATATACCCAGTAATGGGATGGCTGGGTCATATGGTACATCTAGTTCTAGATCCTAGAGGAATCGCCATACTGCTTTCCATAATGGTTGAACTAGTTTATAATCCCACCAACAGTGTAAAAGTGTTCCTATTTCTCCACATCCTCTCCAGCACCGGTTGTTTCCTGACTTTTTAATGATCGCCATTCTAACTGGTGTGAGATGGTATCTCATTGTGGTTTTGATTTGCATTTCTCTGATGGCCAGTGATGATGAGCATTTTTTCATGTGTCTGTTGGCTGTATGAATGTCTTCTTTTGAGAAATGTCTGTTCATATCCTTTGCCTACTTTTTGATGGGGTTGTTTGTTTTTTTCTTGTAAATTTGTTGGAGTTCTTTGTAGGTTCTGGATATTAGCCCTTTGTCAGATGAGTAGATTGCAAAAATTTTCTCCCATTCTGTAGGTTGCCTGTTCACTCTGATGGTAGTTTCTTTCCTGTGCAGAAGCTCTTTAGTTTAATGAGATCCCATTTGTCAATTTTGGCTTTTCCTGCTGTTGCTTTTGGTGTTTTAGACATGAAGTCTTTGCCCATGCCCATGACCTCAATGGTACTAACTAGGTTTTCCTCTAGAATTTTTATGGTATTAGGTCTAACATTTAAGTCTCTAATCCATCTTGAATTAATTTTCGTATAAGGAGTAAGGAAAGGATCCAGTTTCAGCTTTCTACTTATGGCTAGCCAATTTTCCCAGCACCATTTATTAAATAGGGAATCCTTTCCCCATTTCTTGTTTCTCTCAGGTTTGTCAAAGATCAGATGGCTGTAGATGTGTGGTATTATTTCTGAGGACTCTGTTCTGTTCCATTGGTCTATATCTCTGTTTTGGTACCAGTACCATGCTGTTTTGGTTACTGTAGCCTTGTAGTATAGTTTGAAGTCAGGTAGCGTGATGCCTCCAGCTTTGTTCTTTTGACTTAGGATTGTCTTGGAGATGCGGGCTCTTTTTTGGTTCCATATGAACTTTAAAGCAGTTTTTTCCAATTCTGTGAAGAAGCTCATTGGTAGCTTGATGGGGATGGCATTGAATCTATAAATTACCTTGGGCAGTATGGCCATTTTCACGATATTGATTCTTCCTATCCATGAGCATGGTATGTTCTTCCATTTGTTTGTGTCCTCTTTGATTTCACTGAGCAGTGGTTTGTAGTTCTCCTTGAAGAGGTCCTTTACATCCCTTGTAAGTTGGATTCCTAGGTATTTTATTCTCTTTGAAGCAATTGTGAATGGAAGTTCATTCCTGATTTGGCTCTCTGTTTGTCTGTTACTGGTGTATAAGAATGCTTGTGATTTTTGCACATTAATTTTGTATCCTGAGACTTTGCTGAAGTTGCTTATCAGCTTAAGGAGATTTTGGGCTGAGACAATGGGGTTTTCTAAATATACAATCATGTCATCTGCAAACAGGGACAATTTGACTTCTTCTTTTCCTAACTGAATCCCCTTGATTTCTTTCTCTTGCCTGATTGCCCTAGCCAGAACTTCCAACACTATGTTGAATAGGAGTGGTGAGAGAGGGCATCCCTGTCTTGTGCCAGTTTTCAAAGGGAATTTTTCCAGTTTTTGCCCATTCAGTATGATATTGGCTGTGGGTTTATCATAAATAGCTCTTATTATTTTGAGGTACGTTCCATCAATACCGAATTTATTGAGCGTTTTTAGCATGAAGGGCTGTTGAATTTTGTCAAAAGCCTTTTCTGCATCTATTGAGATAATGATGTGGTTCTTGTCTTTGTTTCTGTTTATATGCTGGATTATGTTTATTGATTTGCGAATGTTGAACCAGCCTTGCATCCCAGGGATGAAGCCCACTTGATCATGGTGGATAAGCTTTTTGATGTGTTGCTGAATCCGGTTTGCCAGTATTTTATTGAGGATTTTTGCATCGATGTTCATCAGGGATATTGGTCTAAAATTCTCTTTTTTTGTTGTGTCTCTGCCAGGCTTTGGTATCAGGATGATGTTGGCCTCATAAAATGAGTTAGGGAGGATTCCCTCTTTTTCTATTGATTGGAATAGTTTCAGAAGGAATGGTACCAACTCCTCCTTGTACCTCTGGTAGAATTCAGCTGTGAATCCATCTGGTCCTGGACTTTTTTTGGTTGGTAGGCTATTATTGCCTCAATTTCAGAGCCTGCTATTGGTCTATTCAGGGATTCAACTTCTTCCTGGTTTAGTCTTGGAAGAGTGTATGCATCCAGGAAATTATCCATTTCTTCTAGATTTTCCAGTTTATTTGCGTAGAGGTGTTTATAGTATTCTCTGATGGTAGTTTGTATTTCTGTGGGGTCGGTGGTGATATCCCCTTTATCATTTTTAATTGCGTCGATTTGATTCTTCTCTCTTTTCTTCTTTATTAGTCTTGCTAGTGGTCTGTCAATTTTGTTGATCTTTTCAAAAAACCAACTCCTGGATTCATTGATTTTTTGGAGGGTTTTTTGTGTCTCTATCTCCTTCAGTTCTGCTCTGATCTTAGTTATTTCTTGCCTTCTGCTAGCTTTCGAATGTGTTTGCTCTTGCTTCTCTAGTTCTTTTAATTGCGATGTTAGAGTGTCAATTTTAGATCTTTCCTGCTTTCTCTTGTGGGCATTTAGTGCTATAAATTTCCCTCTACACACTGCTTTAAATGTGTCCCAGAGATTCTGGTATGTTGTATCTTTGTTCTCATTGGTTTCAAAGAACATCTTTATTTCTGCCTTCATTTCGTTATGTACCCAGTAGTCATTCAGGAGCAGGTTGTTCAGTTTCCATGTAGTTGAGCGGTTTTGATTGAGTTTCTTAGTCCTGAGTTCTAATTTGATTGCACTGTGGTCTGAGAGACAGTTTGTTATAATTTCTGTTCTTGTACATTTGCTGAGGAGTGCTTTACTTCCGATTACGTGGTCAATTTTGGAGTAAGTACGATGTGGTGCTGAGAAGAATGTATATTCTGTTGATTTGGGGTGGAGAGTTCTATAGATGTCTATTAGGTCTGCTTGCTGCAGAGATGAGTTCAATTCCTGGATATCCTTGTTAACTTTCTGTCTCGTTGATCTGTCTAATGTTGACAGTGGAGTGTTGAAGTCTCCCATTATTATTGTATGGGAGTCTAAGTCTCTTTGTAAGTCTCTAAGGACTTGCTTTATGAATCTGGGTGCTCCTATATTGGGTGCATATATATTTAGGATAGTTAGCTCTTCCTGTTGAATTGATCCCTTTACCATTATGTAATGGCCTTCTTTGTCTCTTTTGATCTTTGATGGTTTAAAGTCTGTTTTATCAGAGACTAGTATTGCCACCCCTGCTTTTCTTTTGTTCTCCATTTGCTTGGTAAATCTTCCTCCATCCCTTTATTTTGAGCCTATGTATGTCTCTGCGTGTGAGATGGGTCTCCTGAATACAGCAGACTGATGGGTCTTGACTCTTTATCCAGTTTGCCAGTCTGTGTCTTTTAATTGGAGCATTTAGTCCATTTACATTTAAGGTTAAGATTGTTATGTGTGAACTTGATCCTGCCATTATGATATTAACTGGTTATTTTGCTCGTTAGTTGATGCAGTTTCTTCCTAGCCTCGATGGTCTTTACATTTTGCCATGTTTTTGCAATGGCTGGTACCGGTTGTTCCTTTCCATGTTTAGTGCTTCCTTCAGGGTCTCTTGTAAGGCAGGCCTTGTGGTGACAAAATCTCTAAGCATTTGCTTATCTGTAAAGGATTTTATTTCTCCTTTACTTATGAAACTTAGTTTGGCTGGATATGAAATTCTGGGTTTAAAATTCTTTTCTTTAAGAATGTTGAATATTGGCCCCCACTCTCTTCTGGCTTGGAGAGTTTCTGCCGAGACTGCTGTTAGTCTGATAGGCTTCCCTTTGTGGGTAACCCGACCTTTCTCTCTGGCTGCCCTTAAGATTTTTTCCTTCATTTCAACTTTGGTGAATCTGGCAATTATGTGTCTTGGAGTTGCTCTTCTCGAGGAGTATCTTTGTGGCGTTCTCTGTATTTCCTGGATTTGAATGTTGGCCTGCCCTACTAGGTTGGGGAAGTTCTCCTGGATGATATCCTGAAGAGTGTTTTCCAACTTGGTTCCATTTTCCCCGTCACTTTCAGGCACCCCAATCAGACGTAGATTTGGTCTTTTTACATAATCCCATACTTCTTGCAGGCTTTGTTCATTTCTTTTTCTTCTTTTTTCTTTTGGTTTCTCTTCTCGCTTCATTTCATTCATTTGATCCTCAATCGCTGACATTCTTTCTTCCAGTTGATCGAGTCGGTTACTGAAGCTTGTGCATTTGTCACGTATTTCTCGTGTCATGGTTTTCATCTCTTTCATTTCGTTTATGACCTTCTCTGCATTAATTACTCTAGCCATCAATTCTTCCACTTTTTTTTTCAAGATTTTTAGTTTCTTTGCACTGGGTACGTAATTCCTCCTTTAGCTCTGAGAAATTTGATGGACTGAAGCCTTCTTCTCTCATCTCGTCAAAGTCTTTGGCTAGAAAAGTGACAAAACTGAGCTGGGTGGGGCATAAGTTACAGGGGTGAGAGCTTCAGTGGCCTGTTTATCGGGAGGAGTTGGAGCTGGAGCAGCTCCTGTGGTGGCGGGGACCCGGGGAGCGTGATCTCCAGCGCACAGGGGACCTGCGCCTCGGGGAGCGGGACCTTCTCCTCATCCGTGGGGGAGACCTGCGCCACATGGGCGGTGGTGGCAACATTCTCCTGGGAGGGCTAAATCTCCTGGGGGGTGGCCTAGGCCAGGGGGCCAGCACGGCAGTAGCAGTGATCTCCTGGCCATCGATTTGTCCTCCATCCATGTGCTTCAGCGCCTTCTCAGCTTCATCTGGATTCTCAAACTCTACGTATGCATAGCCTTTGGACAGATGGGGATGCATCCTTTCCACGGGCATGTCAATCATTTTAATTTTCCCATAGGTGGAAAATATCTCCATGATGTGATCCTTTGTCACATTCCTGGTGAGTCTCCCAATATGCACTTTGGTGGGCTTAGGAGATGGGCTCCACCTTTTCCTCTCCTTTTCATCTCTTTTAGGTGGTTTGGATTTGGAGCGGGAGCACCTCCTGTTGTCGTGTCTGCGCCAAGAAGGACTTGGAGAGCCGGAAGAGCTGCTGGAGCTGGAGCTGCGGGAGGTGCTGGAGCTTCCTGAGCGGCTGGATGCTGAGGAAGAGCTGGAGCCACTGCTTGAGCCAGTGCTGGTGCTGGAGCCTGAGCTGGAAGTCGAGCTGGACCGAGATCTGGTACTGCTGCTACCACTGGAAGCACTGCGCCTCTTTCGGGTTTTGTCCCTGCTGCGATCCTTCTCACTTGACTCCTTGGTGGCCCCTTTATCTTTTGAGCGATCCTTGGACTTCTCATCTGAGCGGTCCTTGCGTTTGGTGGGTGAAGGAGCCCTAGTGCTGGACTTTTTATTATTTTCTTTGACTCCTAGCAAGCTCTTCTTTTTCACTCCTGATAAATCCATTCTCCCCTTCTGAGGTGTTCAAAGCAGCAATGGCGGCCTCACTTATCTGAACTCTCACTTCTAACTTGATTTTGAGAAACGATCCCTAATCGATTGCAATTTACGCCAAAGAGCAGCATCTTCCCGCCGCCACCACCTCCTCCTGCTTTCCTCAGCCTCCCGTACATCACTTTTTCTGATAGAAGGATGGATCATTCTAGATTTATTTGTGAATTTCAGAAAATTCAAAGGAAACAAGTATATTATGTTGATGTATATGTCCCCATGAGTTCTACAGAATTCTCACATACTTATTTACTCTGCTAAATTCTTAGAAATAAACTCATAAAAATATTTAAAAATTATTTTTTGACTATGAGTTATTGTCAAAATATTATTTGTGGATGGATTCCAAAACATTTTCAGTCTTGTAAGTGGAAGACATTTTTGTATTTCTTTTTGTGGATTCAGAAAGGATAACTGAAAAATAGCATTATTTTAAGTGACACTAAAAATATCACTTACATTAATTATTTTTGGGGAAAAAAATTGAGAAAATATTTAATGGAGTAAAATATAGTCCATGCAAAGCAGAACAAACTCCAAAGTGGTAAGCCAAGCTCTGTAAAACTAAGAATGAAAATCAAATAAATATGCAACGGTATTACTTACGGATACAACTCTGAAAGATGTTCAGCTAATGCATAAGCTGTTGGGTCTCTGTCCAAGGCATACAAAACAATATCTGACTCCTTCTGTAGAATGGCTTTTGTGTGCCCTCCCGAACCAAATGTCATATCTAGAAAAATCTAGCAAACACAGAAAAAGAAAATTACAACTTAGCATAAACAAAACTTATTCTTGACAACTATCTCAATTTCTAGAAGCACACAATGATTTTCAGAGTTGACAATAAATAGGAAAATAATTACAATGATTTTGCCTATGGTTGAATTTGTTATATGTGAGATCTGGCTCAATTATGAGTGATAAGTCTAAAAGAACTGATCAGACTATCAGTAAAATAACCTCTGACACAGACTGGCTAATTCAAGACAAATTTATATTTCTCTCTATAAGGTCAAACTGGTCACACTGTTGTGCCCCCAGCTCTTTCATACTTTCCAGCATCCAGCTGGTAATAACATTTTCAATAGTTTCTCATTTGGAAAAGGCTTACAATTAGTGTGGCTCATTTTATCTCAATTTCTCTTAATGCTTTCTATGAAAATGATACTCAAGAAGAGAAAAGACAGAGAGATAGAGAGAATAAACATCCATAATAATAAATAGGCACAGGACAAATCAGATAAAATCTTGAAAACTGACAAACTTACAGATTATATCTGTAATAACAAAATAACAAATATGAACTGAGAAGAAAAAAAAGCTTTTCAAGTCAAAACACGTAGGGTAAATTCTAGGTTTGACATGAAGTATTTATGTCTTTGGGATTGTTACTTAAAGCTGCAAAATTCCAGTGTCTTTAGCATTTAAAAAGAAAATGAAGAAGAAAAGAAGATACTATCACCACCTGCCTAATTGGTAAGGTAACATATCATTTCTTGTGTAAATCAAAATACTTTTAAGAGTGAAACATTTGCCAGTAATAATTTTGCCAGGACAACAGGATAGGATGTACTTGAGTACATATCACTCAATGCTTGGCTCATTCCAGATATACAGTATGGTTAATTGAATCTGAATCTATTTCTTGGCTATTTGGCCACACTCCAAAGAGAAAAGTCATGTCACAGTTGAGCAAGAAACCAGACCTGGATCATAAGAAATACATGTGTGTACTAGTTAGTTGATTGTGACTAGTTTGCAACTCAAGACATTCTCCACGTATTCCCTTCAAGTTATGCTCTTAGTTTAATAGGACCTTTCAGTAAACTTCATTGGTGTTATGAAAATAAAAACAATTACTCTAATAATAATGACTACAATGACAAATCACATAAGTCTATTGGCTAGATTTAAAAATACCTAAACATACAATTTTCTTAAAGTTCATGTGCATAGTACATAAGAAGGGAAATTCCTGTCATATATTTGAATATATTTCCCTGCTCTGAATGTTTCCACTTATTTCAGGGACAGTAATCGGAAACTGGGCACGCAATTATGCTTTGATTTTTTGGCTCCTATCTACCATGCTGAGTCCCATCCTCTGATCATGTCCTCATAAAAGTTAGCCTGCTATTGAAAGAATAACATGGAAGAAATCTTCTGATCAAAATTGGAGGATGGACATAAAATAGAAAAATATGTAAATGTGGTAAAAATGTACAAGCATTGCTTTTTAACACAAATGTTTTAGTGTGACTTAACTTTGTACTTCTATCGCTGTCACCATAAAAGGCATGGCTAAATATATTTTTCACCATTTTAAACAATATCTTTTTATTTTTAGAAACACTTAAATCTCAAGATGAAATAATTTCCCTTGCCAGTAACTTATTTTATACATCTATGAATTGGTAAAACTCTTCCACTATACATTACATCAATTTAAAAATTTTAAGAAGTTCAACACAATTTAACCAAAGAATTTTTTCCCAGGCAAAATCATAAACTACTTCCTTGTCATGGTATTAATACCAAGCCTTGCTATAACTCTGGATTTAAACTAAAAGTAGATTAAATAAAACAATTTAGATATGATTACCCTTATTCCAAGACAAGAAAGTCCCAATCAGTATTTAAAGAAAAATCATCATCATTAGCAATATTCTGAAAAATGTGATTATAATTTACATGATTATTTTTAATATATCATTATTATGCCCTTGTAGATGTACTGACAATCAAGAAAGTTTCCACAGGGGGAAAAAAAATCTGATATACCAGTCAAGTGTAACACAGAAAGCAAAAAGCGGCAGACAAATGGAATTTGTGAAACTAGAGGTAAAACCCACCATATGTCCTGAGTTAATACGTGATTGGAGCCATCAACTCTCATTTTTACAATTCTAGTATTCATTGTTCATCACATGTAATAGTGACATCTAGGCCTCATGAGCCAACCAGCACTACAATTGAAAAGGGAGCCAATTAGTTTTCGTCTTCCTCTAGGTCACTAACATAAGACCACAGTTTAAAATCTGTATGAGTTGCAAATAAAAAAAGCAACTGGTCAATTTTTGTGGTTAACAAAAAAATGCACAAGAACAAATAAATCTGAATGTTTCCAAGTAACCCTTCTATGGATCTCATCTATACATATATTCCAAATGTATATTTTGTGCTCCAAACATACGTGGAACTCCTTCTTTGAAATTACCTGATATAATTTATCCATAAAACAAAACTCACATTGTAATACTAAGTTTATTCTGGTTATTTAACCGACAACCTGTATAACCCTAAACAAATCACTTGAATTCTTTAAGTCTCAATTGTTTCATCTAAGAATAAATGGGAATAAAAGGTACCCCTGTTTATCTCACAGAGATTTATAAAGATTACCTTATGTCATCATTACAATCACGAATATGTCATTAGATGTTATATATACATTTCACAAACTAAGACTGCACTAAACTAGTAAGTGGCAAATGCAGGAATTGAATAAAGATGAATCTGGGCTTAAAACCTGTGTTCTTTCACACACCTCTCTGTCTTATTAAGTCATGAAGTCTATATCTGCATACTGCTTTATGGTTTACCAAGCATCGATGTTTTCCTACTCCACTAAAAAATGCTCCATGAGGGAATTAGACAACTGGCATTATATCCATTTTTACAAAAAAAGGGGGAAACTTAGGTGCAGACAGAAAATGTGTCTTGATTAAGATCCTATTACTAGTAAGTGAGGGGAAGTGAACTCTAAACTAGGTCTCGCCAACACTAAATTCTCTGTTCTTTCTGAAGAGAGAAAGAGGAAGAAAAGGCAAAAGTGAAAGAAAGAACAAAAAATGTAAGACATGATTGGGGTTCAGAATCAAAATGAAAGTGAATTAAAGTAAAAAAAAATTACAAACCACCATTTGAGGAAAATGATTCCTGATTTCTACAATCCCCCAACTTTACCTCCAACTTAATATGGCAGCATCAGTGCAAAACAGTAGGTGCTAAGTAATGTGATATGAATAAAGGAGCTCAGTCTCCCAAGGTAACTATGTTAAAGGTAACAATTTTCATTTGTGCATTTGAGTCTAGAAACATTCTTCAAAATATAAGACTCATTACCACAGGACCATATAAAGTAGTTATAATTCAGCTCGAGATGTCCAAGATTTTTAGAGTCATTTAACATCAATGTATTCCTAATATTGCCAATTGATTCATTAATGAATAGTTCTCTCCTAGAACACAATTAATGATGTTATTAATTTTATTATTTAACTCTTTTGCACCATGTTTTTATTTGCTGATCACTCTCCTTTACATTTGAAATAAGAAAACAAATAGGCTAGTTCTTTTTAATCAAATGCAACTAAATGTCATTTTATCCCCTATGTTCTTCAAATATGGACAGACACAGACACCATATTTCACAGGTCAAAGGGACATAACAGACTATTCCACCCCCTCCTTTTACTTATGAGGAAATCAAGGCCTGGAGAGGTTACCTGGTAGCTAGTTGGGGCAAAGCTAATAGTAAAATGTAGATCCTATGTCCTTTCTACATCATCTCCTAAAACTTACCCACTGAAATTATATAATCACATTGAAATATAAACAACTGTTTCTTCGAAAAGTTTTCTCTTTCTTAATATGAAGATACATAGGTAAACATTGTTCCTATACAATGATTCTTCCAATACAGTTAAAAACAACCAGTGTTCTACCAATCTAATTTTTTAAGTCTTTTAATTCAAACCTGTTAATTAAGTCTCCAAGAAAGATAATTATTTTGTATATGGTTTGGTATAAATGTCCACCTATTATCTGTAACAGTTACTGATGAAGACTGACTTACTGACAGGTTACACATTCCAATTGGATTTTGAAATTTAAAAATGATTTTTAAAATCATAGACTCATAGGTGGTTAGAGCAATCAGGACCCATAGAAATAATGCACGTTTAATTCCTTTACTGTACATACTGTTCCACCTTTCTAAAGAATACATAGCTCTATAGTTTCACATCTCTCAAATTTGATATCCTTTAAGACTCATCTCAGACTCCTCTCTGGAGTTGGAGATTGACAGAAATCAAGGCATTGGCCCAAGATCATCTTGCAGAGACTAGATAA